AGCTCCTCCTTCAGGATCACTCCTACCCCATTTCTCTTCCTGTCCACACCATAATAAAACAGTTTGTATCCCCCTCCAATGCTACGTGCTTTGCTACCCTTCCACCTGGTCTCCTGCATACACAGTATATCTACCTTCCTTCTCTCCATCATGTCCACCAGCTCTCTACCTTTCCCTGTCATTGTGCCAACATTAAGAGTCCCTATTCTCAGACCTATACTCCTGCCTTTCCTCTTCTCTCTCTGTCTATGAATCCTTCTACCTCCTCTCCTTCTTTGACCAACAGTAGTCCAATTTCCACCAGCACCCTGTAGGTCAACAGCACTGGTGGCGGTCGTTGTTAACCTGGGCCTCGACCGATCCAGTATGGAATTTGCACTGATGATTCACATGTTTAAATTTGGCATGTTTTTATGCCGGATGTCCTTCCTGACACAAACAGCAGCCAAGGAATCTGAGCATGAAGCAAAAAATTCTAATTATGGTCAGGGTGTGTGTGTTTGTGAGTGACACAAAAGCAAAAGGAGGTCTGGAAACTGAAGTCAGAAATATTTTTTTTAAGTCTAAAGTGGCAACTGCATGTCCATTTACTATTTCCTCAGAAAAAGTACATATTATTACTATCTATTAATATCATTACTATGAGAGGGCACCCACCCTGTAGACTTGCCTTCACTCCTACACCCACACAGAATTTGTACTGGTGATAACAGAGTTACTGACTCACTGTGGGGCTCTAAAGATTTATGATGGCATGGCCTGACACTCCCCTCATTTAACTCATATACTTAGCTTCCATACAAATGCTCTTCTAGTCTTTGGTACATTTAATTGTAGATTATTGACTCAGTGTTTAATTATTAAATCATCACATAATTAATGCTTTACATGTGTGTAAACAAAGAAAAGTCCACCGAGACCCGTGGCTGTAATTTAATTATCATAATACCTTGAATGCATCTCGAGCTCAATGTTTCGAGCTCAATGCTTCATATTTCATATGGTCCTGTCAAAGAGAACACTGCAATTAAGCAGCTGCAATAGACTCTCGGCTGATAAAACAGCATACCGTGTTGATCTTGCAGCACATTCAGGAAGAGTGTTTTATTGCTGCCTGGGATGGTACACACTGGTTTCAGAGTACAGATGATCTTAGACTTTATCAGGCCAGGACCTGTATCAAGCACATTTCTGTTGACAGTCCTCCATAATGTTTTTAGTCTGGATGTTCTGAGCAGTTGTTCAGAACTCAGCGTCTCTTCTTTTACTTCAGTTAATTTATCCACATAAGAGCACTGATACCGACTGAATGACCTCAAGCTTGAAATGAGTGTTCTTCCAAGAGACCTGTGGAGCAGTTTATTTGGACAAAGAACATTTTTGTTCTTCTGAAGTGGTGTTAAACCCAGAGTCTGTAGAGTCAGAGTATACAGTAGACATCTTTTTACATTTTTGTCTACTGTATACTGGGTCACAACTGTTCCCTAAACAAACATGTTGATGACATGTTAGGCTGCGCAAATCCCATGAAAAATCCTAAAGACGCATAAATACAGGTCTAACATTTTCTGAAAAGCCTCCAATTTTCCAAAGCAGCTGCTCACTGAGGCTTTTAACAGACAAGAAACAAGAGAAAGTACTGCATCTGTTGGAAGTGTCACCATTTCTGCTAAACCTTCTTCAAAGACAAAGTGTACTAATGCGATATCTCTCTCTCTTTCCAGTACAGTGCCATTTGAAGAAAGAGTATTCACTGTGTTGAAGTGGCTGCAGCTGACTGATAAAGAAAGGTTGGTTCACTTGAGGAAAAACTCTGTGTTGGCACAGAATGTCCCTGTAATTTATATCTAGCTTTTATTGAGCAAATTATTCACATGCATATTTTGTGTACTGTTAATATGTAGGCTACAGTATATCAAAGAATTTCTGTGGTCATTTGGTTTGATTTTATGACCAGTTGCTGTTTTAATAGCCTTTTTCCTCCAGGCCGGATTTCTACACTTTGTATCTGGAGGAGCCTGATAAATCTGGACACAGTTTCGGTCCTGTCAGCGGGGGAGTAAGCTAGCACATAAATAAAGATTAAATGAAGATCTCACACATCATGTCTTATCTGTCCTCTGCTCTGCTTTTCTTTTTTCCCTCTTTCATCTCATTTGAAGCTTCTCTGAATTCTCTGGAACAACTTGAGGAAAAACCTGGATTTTACTTCTTTGTTAGGTCACAATGTGCTTTTTGCTTCCCCTGACCTTCACTCTCAGTATCAAATCTTATTGTAATTGCAGATACAGATCCACTAATCTCTAGTTAATGCCGCCCATTAGAAATGGTTGTAGCATTAAAAAGTCTGAAGTCCATTAATACCATAGGGTGTGGATAAAAGCCCCCATAAAAACTGAACATTGTGAGCAGACGACTTGCAGGTGCAGCCTAGTTGAGTTTATTGCATCCTGCACTAACTAGTGTAGATCACATACTGCACTGGGCAGCTCCATCAGGGTGATAAAGTTTCATGACAGGAGTCAATGATGAGCTCTTCTCTACACTTCCACAATCTCCCTGACATCTATTTTGGCAAATAGCCTGAAGAGGTTCTGTCAGGGTCTCAGATGAAACTGTACGGCTCCGCAGGACCTTGTCCATCCGGTTCTGGAGTAACACACCAGGCCAATCATCTCTGTATCTCCTGGCAGTTGTTTCCAGCTGTTGAAACATCTGCTTCTTGTTTCCTGCTCCAAAAGAGCACACAGAGTTTATTGTTGCTGATCCGTATGTGCTATATAGTGAATGAAACGTGGTTTGTTTCTGGGGGTCAAGATGAAAAAGAAAACCTTCTGACACCTCATGGCTGTCCTCTTTTAGGCTCGCGTTCACATTTAGAAGCTGTGTAGTAAATGCTTCATTTCACCATATTTTTATATCAAGTAATACAAAAGTTTCATTGCATCTCATCTGCCCAGGCTCAGACTGCAGAGATGCTGTTTAAGATAAGATCGTTTAAGAAACTTTGTGATTGATTATTGCATGTTTGAGAAGAGAATAATTTAGTTTTTATGCAAAGTTAAATGAGAGCTTTCAGTGAAAAGGCCCCAGCCACTGAATGGTTGTGTTGGTTTTCTCCAGGTGATTGAAGCGCTCCAGGGCGTGGATAAAATCATCGGTCAGCTCATGAATGGCCTCAAGCAGATCAACCTGCATCGCTGCCTCAACATCATCATTGTGGCCGATCATGGTAACACACAACATACACTAACACGGCTTTGGGAATAAGCATCTCCTCTGTGAGCTGCGTTATTTAAAATAATGAATCAGATCACTTTGCCAGTGTTTTGTGTGGGTAAGGCAAGGAATGCACTGATACAATATGTACTGGGACAAGCACTATCTGTGAAGCAGGATCAGCCACAGTGGGAAGATTTTTCTTTTTAAGCATCATAAGTGTTTATTTGGCAGCTGATCCTTAGCTGTTTGTTTTCCTATGAACACGTTTTCATAACAGCACAAAACCCCTCGAGGCCAATTTGTGACATTGGGCTGTATCGATAAAAACTGTCATGACTTGACCTGATACTAGTTAATAGTTACTGATAGATCAACCTGTGAGAAACAAGCTCCAGGTCTCAGCTCAGTGAGTTTCATAGTGCAGTGAAACACCAGGCTCCTGTGGAGAAATCACTCAGCTAACCTGTGCTGTAATGAAAACCAATGAGCATGTTCTTTTTAGTTCCTCAGAAGAAAGAGAGCATCAGCAGTGCTGTGCGACATAATATGAGAGAGATGCTTTTGCAGGTATGGAAGACATAAGCTGCGACAGGAAAGAGGTGCTGCAGGAGCTGGTGGGTGACGTCAGCAGCTACTTTGTGACTGAGGGACCGTTCGGACGCATCAGAGGCAAAAGCAAAGACACAGTCTGTAAGTAAAGACACAGTATCAACTTAATGTACCTACCTAAGAACCCAGGTGATAGGTCTGACCCAAGAAACCCTGATTTTATAAGCTGGCTTGTTGGTGGGCTTCATACTCTCACTGTCCTTAACATTTTAACAACCTGTCAAGAATCATGTGGAGTCTCACAAGTAAAAACATGACAAATCCACCTGATTATAAAGGTTTCCTCCTAACAACAGTGCTACTGCTGCTGGTTTTCTGTTCATCCAGTGGCACAAGGTGCAGCTCTATTTGGATTAGTTTTCAACAGAACAAAAGAATCTGTATGTTCCTGAATGGAAACTCATCCATCACATTTGTTCAACTCAGTGGTACTAATACAGTGATGACAGTGATGAAGATATATTATTTGTGGTCATTAAATGTGAATGTTGTGCCTTGTCTTTGCTTTGCCTGAGTGAAGATGACTCAGAGTGGTGCCAGAGGGAAACCTGAGTCATCATAGCAACAGCAGATCTAAACTGGTCTTATTGTTTTCTATGACCACCCACAGAGCTTTTCTCCAGTCCAGAACTTTGTCACAAAAATTCAGCAAAAGGCAGATTAGCTGAAAACTCAGATGTATAATGTGTAAGCCAACACTTGGTTTCACATCTCATTTCCGACCCTCTACCCCAAACTACTGGTGTCTGCAGCTCCGCTCAAGTTCTCACACTGTGCAGTGTTAAATCTGACTTGATGTGACCAAACACTTTATGATGCTGTGCTGACACATCAGGATTCAAAACGACCTTTAGATCTTTTTTGCAGAAACCAAAGGTTTGCAAACACACAACCTGCCCAGGACTACACAACAATATTTCATCAGTACAGCTACTAAGGAGCTTGTAAAACCAATAACTGCAATGAAAATATACCAGGAGGCTTTTTCATAGGAGTGAAATTGTATTGAAGATTCTGAATTTCCTTCATCACATAATTTTATAATAACAACTGAGATTCAAAGTGTAATTTGGCATGGTTAGTGTACCTGTTCAAGCTAAAATGTAGTTTGGTTTGTTATAACAAGTCAGATAACTTGTTTCAGCTTTGCTGTCAATCTCACGTTTTCTCCTTTGGACAGGGGACTCAGCTGGACTTGTCGCTAACATGACCGTGAGCATTCAGTGTTCCCACCAACACCTTCATGTTCATTATAAATAGGATAGCCACCATCTGACAGATGAGATCATCTCTGTAAAGCGTCCAGCTGTAACCTACTCATTAATTTTTACATTCAGCATAGGAGCATTTAAATGACGCTGTTGCTTTTGTTTCTTTAGCTGTTCAAACATTACACATTTTACAGAAGCATTACAAGAAACAAACACAACTCACTGTTACAATACTGTATTTTATTACAGTTTATGTGTCAATTGAAACTTAAATCATTGTCTATGTATGCTGTGTTGATTTCAGTGTAAGAAGCCAGACCAAAAGATCAAACCGTACCTGAAGGCCAACCTACCAAAACGCCTCCATTTCACCAACAGCCGACGTATCGAAGATGTCAGTGTCCTGGTCGAACCAAAATGGCTGTTTGAGAGGTATCCATTATGCATCGGTGTTAGTTTGCTTTCTGTGAGTGAATCTCAGCCCCCTGCATCTTTCGTGGGCAGGACTAAGATGTGAGTGAAAATACAGGAGAGAGGAATCAAAGAAACACGTTTATACAGACATGAGACGTCTTTTCCTCTAAGCTTTTATCTGAAGTGTCCAATCACCAACTGATTTCTAATAAAGGGGCGCGTCGGTCTATAAAAGACTTCTGTGGAGGATGCTCTCGTGTATCCTCGCTCATGGCTCCTCCAGCAGCCTCCTCACTCCTCAATCATTCCAGAGTCAGGTGAGGATTTAGGAGAGATGGAATAATGGAATTGGGATGTAACCCATTAGTTTTTAGTTGTTTCTTAAATGCAGCTGTAGCTTGTACTTTTAGACAGTTTTTGAGAGAGGTCACTAGTGGTTCTGAACAAAAGATGGGAAGAACCAACTAAAGGATAGAATCAGAAACCAGTAAGGAACCATATAAAAGGTGGAAAGCTACTGTAACATGACAAGATCTGAGACAGACACGCTGATTTTCAGAAGGCAGTAAACTGCTGTTGTCTACCACTGTGGTGGTTTACAGCACACTCACTGAAACCAGTGACTTTTAAAAAAGGCATTGTGGCCACTGATCTTATTTCCTGTCCCAAAGGAGTTTATTCCCTTCTGCACACTCAGCATTTCAGTGTTTTCAGACAGGTCTGACTGATTCTCATGCTAAACTAAAGAACCCATCTGTGTCCCCACAGATATCTCGGATCTCTCAAATTCTGCTCTGGTGGGAATCATGGCTATGATAATGATGTTGAGAGCATGCATGTGAGTACCAAGGCTTCTTATTCTATTCTGTCCTACTAGTCAACAGTCAACAAAAATCCGTCTGCTCCCTCTAAAGTCTGAGAAAATCGAGCTCTAACATTGCATTTACCTGCATGATTAAGATGTAGATTTATGTCAGTTAGTCTTTAAATTTTAATGCTTTACTTTTTGGCTCTTTTGACTTTTTACCCAAACATATTAGATTGTTTTCTTCCTCTTCTCTTGCAGGCCATGTTTCTGAGTTATGGACCTAAGTTTCAAGACAGAAGAGAAATTGAACCCTTCGCCAATATTGAGCTGTACAACCTCATGTGTGGTACGTTTCTGGATGTTTCTTGATAAATTACCTTTAACAGTAAGCAACCAAATAAACTAGACTGATTTGTTGTGGATTAGCTGGGGGTCCAAACCCTAAACCTGAAGCACAGACAGTATCTGAAACCCGTTAGATTTGCAGAGAGTTGCTTGTGATAGGTTTTTGTTTCCGTTTCTTCATTATTGTGTATGTGTTGCAATAAATGTTTTGCAAATAGAGTTGCAGCTGTAGATCACATCAACCACAAAAGCTTTTTGTGTGCTGTGGAAACGGTCAGCTATGATGTAAATTAAGCACAGCTCATAATTAACAAACATGTCAAGCAGCTGGTGTAGACCACAAAACGTAACAGCTATCACCTCGTGCAGATGTGCTGCAAATTTCACCCAGTGACAACAACGGGACCCACGGCAGCATGAACCATGTCCTGAGGCAGCCCTACTACACCCCAGCACCCCCTGCAGAGCAGAGTGGGCCTGCCCAGTGTAAGCTGGTCAGCCTCGACCCTGAAGACACCCTGGGATGCTCCTGTGCGGCCCTGGTGGGTTTTCTTACTGTGTACTGAGAGGATAGCAAACACACAGTGGGTCTCATTCACAAAGTTTAACTACTTTTCACTTACATCTGTAAAAACATAAAAAGGGCAAATAAGAAAACTCAGCCCCTGATTTTTGATGCCGTCTTCATTGTCAGTCAAGACA